GGGCAGGAAAGCAGACAGCTGGCAGCTGCGTACTGTCCCTTTATATTAAAGGTTCTTATGTATACATATTTTTAAAAAAGCTTTTTTTTTTTTTCTGCTCCAAACATCTTGCAGTCTTAGGGACACTTTTCTCAAAGAGGTGGGGTTTTTTGAGTAAAAACAACTGCTGAAGCTGGGCAGCAGAATTGGTGAATGGTGCTTAAGCAACCTTATACAGTGCGTTGCTCCCAGCGCCGAGAACAGCCTCTCCGACCCCTCTACGGCGCTGGTGGATGCTGCGGGGCGTCTTTGCTGCAAAAAGCTGCTGCTACTTCTGCAACTGTGACCTTACCTCATGCAGACAAACTCTGCAGCACTTGCTTAGTTGTCATTATGAGTCTTTTATTTTCTGTCCCTGAACAAATACGCTGCTTGTTTTTAGTACTGAGCCTTGTTTGAAGGCGCAAGGTGGCTGGGCTGAGCTCTGCAGTTACTCTACTGCAGGATCAGTGTGGCAGGAGCAGAAAAAGAAGGTGGTTTCCCAGTTGCCAGCTGTGATTTGTGATGTGCCACGAAGGAAGATCGCAACACCTCCTCCTGCTTGGCTTTGTCTCAGCCAGCTGCAGGCGGCACAGGGCAGGAGAACAGCTGATGAGTTCACCACAGCCACCCTTTCCAGGTTCCCACATTAGCACAATTACAGCCCCAGAGGCTGTAAAGAGAACACAGTCTTTTAAAAAATACACTAGAATTTAACAGAGAAATTAATAGCGTAGCAAATTGTAATGCTCAGCACGTCGGCTGCATGTCAGTTTTAAAAGACAGCTGTATGTGCAGCCTTGGCACGGTTGTGCTGATTTCCAGACCTTTCTCTGCATTTGGCCATCATTTCAGCATCTGCAATTCTGTTTCCTGAGGAAAGAGCCGGCAGGGCACCATTCCCGCTGCCATTTGCCCAAAAACCTGGTGTGTTTTCTTCCTGTTGTGTTTTCTCTAAAGCCACGCTATGTATTGGCACTAAAATGCCATGCTATCTGAAATTAATGTATAACTGTGATAGCCAGTAGGGATGTTAGAGTTCAAGTCTCAGAGTATTTTGGGTTATAAATCTTGGTTTCTGAGGGCTTTCTTATTTAGTTATATATAGCTCAGCTATCAAAACAGTTACAGTGGTAACTGCCAGCTCTTGGTGCTTGCTGTGGCCCACGGTGAAACCAGGGGCGAAGCATGAGCAGCACCACTCGCATCTTGTCGAGCTTAGAAGAGCTTTAGGAACCCACTGGCTGGTGAGCTTGAAGCTGTGGAGACCCATTTAAAGCTGCCCACTGCCTGGAAGTCATACATGTACGTAAAATTGTTGTAAACTGACATTCGGGTGATGCCTGGGAAGCTGAGGCGTGGGCGAGGATGTCCCCAGGACTGGCTGATGCGTCTCTGTGGTCCCTGTTCGTGGCTGTTGCAAGAGGATGTTGACCTCTCTCTACTGGCATGTTTTTTCAAAAGCCCTTGAAAAGCAACTGTTTTGGTGGCTCTCTGTGCCAGCGGTGACCACAGGTTGCCTGGTGGAGCAGACAGCCCTGATGCCAATAATGTCTTTGGCTCTTTTTCTGACTGAGTCAGATCACTTAGGCATTAACCTTAAAATAGCTACTATTTTTGTAGTTGATATAATTAATCTCGTGTGTGTGTTTATGTTCCTTTCCCATCCTTGGCTTTGAAGCTTCACCACTCCCCTGCTGACCAACTCCCTGCTTTGGCACAAGAAAGCTCTTAGCAAAACTTGGCTTTTTCACCAGAAAGCACAAAGTATGGGCTGTGTGTGCTCTGCTTGGTGAGTTCACTGGTGGGCAAAGGCTGTTTGCTGCTGCTGTCTCCAACAACAGCTTCCTCCCTTGCATGGGCGGTTGGTTGTGGAGCACCTTCTCGATCTGGTTTTGCAGGGGTGGATGTGGAAGGGGGATGTTCACAAGTCAACAGGTCTGGGGGTAATGCTGGCCACAGAGACGGCAGTAACCGATGGATGGATGGATGGATGGATGGATGGATGGATGGATGGATGGATGGATGGATGGATGGATGGATGGATGGATGGATGTGTGGGTCTAACGATGCACTAGGAAAAAGGGACTGAGTGAAGCCTGAAGCATGAGTGGATTCTGCATGGGGCCTCATCCCACCCTGGGAAAGGGAGGAGAGAAGATCCACTGCCTGGTCAGTGCAGCCCATCCCCTGCCTCTCTCCTCCCCTTCCTGTGGCAGCTCCTGCATCAGTGCACACCCAAGAATGCAAGTGTGGGGTACTGGGTACTACCCCATCCCCAATTTTCCAGCCCTCCTCATGGCTCCAGCCATGCCCGAGGTGGGGGCTAGAGGGTGCTGGGCCTTGGCCACCTTATACCACCGATTTTTCAGGTCTGAGCACATCAGCAGAGGGGAGGAAGGGAGGAAAGAAAAGATCTTTTGCGATGAAGCTAAGCGAAGAAGTGCCCAAGAATGGGGGGACCGAACCTCGCTGCTTGCATGGCAGCTATTCCCATGAGGTCTGTGTTCCTGCCAATTAAATCAACAAGAACACGTTGGGGAAACCCCTGATGATAGTGTCTGAGGGTGCTTTGTTAAATGCACGCAGCGTGGCGAGCCCACGTGGAACAAAAGGCTGCGTGGCTGAGCCTGACGGCCTTGCTGCGTCCTGGGGAAAACGAGCTCAGTGGTTTTGTTAAACAATTTTAAGTAAATACCTGAGGAAGGAAAAGCTTTCCGCAGCCACAGACGCGGCTGCACAGCCCACACAGCTCCCAGCCTTTGCAGAGCATCCTCAGATCCCATCCCAACCTCCGGCGCTGGCGTGGCAGGAGGGGTGGCAGCTCCCCTGTAAGTAAGACTGACCCCCACCCACCCCCCCCAACCGTGGCAGCAACAGCAAATATCGCCCAGGGAACCATCATTTCCATGGCAGCACGTTGCAATATGGTGAACAGACAGTGGATGTACCGTGAGCAGCACACGCCGTTGTTGAATAAAAAAAGCCAACCCTGCTGCAGTGGCTGGCGGCGGGGAGCTGAGAGCACTGCCCGGGCTGCCGAGGTCTGCCTTGGAAGAGGGACGCAGGGGGATTTGCAAAGCAAAGCTGCTCTCGAGGGCTGGCCCGGCGTTGGATTTTCCTCTCTGAGCAAACAAGCCGGCTCCTTCCCTGGCGTACTGACCACATTCAGCTGGACAGGATTGCTCCATGCCCCAGTCACTGCTCAGATTTCAATCCCGTCGGCCCCAGGAGTCTTTCTGTGCTGGGGCCGTGTTCCTCTGGATGTAGAAATGTCACTGCATCTCAGAAAATGCCACTAGTGTTGTTATTTAAGGAATAATAGTGTTAAAGCTAATAATTAGGAAGAGAAAGTGACTGGCTTGCACAGTTTCCGATTACTTTTCTCCTCTCGTCTGTGTGATCTGAGCTCTCTCTTCAGCAGTCCCTGTGGTGGAGGCAGGGTAGAGTTTTAAATAGAATTAAATCCCTTTAACATCGGTTTTGCATCAGCAGAGCTTGTGCTGAAATGCCTGTGCTGTGCAGGGAAGCTGTGCTATCACCCCAGCTGGGTGTGGGACGCAGTGAGACCCCCCCCCCCCCCCCGCTGCAACGCGGTTACAGCCCAGTGACCACAGATGGAGGGAAATACTGCAAATAATTGGTATTTTGCTGATGGGCGGCAAAGGAAGGGGCTGCACAAGCCATTTTGAATCAGATTGGAGGACCAAACTGAAATCTGGTGGGGCCTGTGCCTGAGCTGCAGGCAGGCCTTTGTCCCTAAATGCTGTGCAAATATTGGTAGCAACTGGGAGGGATGCTGGAGGGAAGACATGAGCCGTATGCTCCAAATCCCCCGTCGCTCAGTGCTGTGCCTCCTTCTTGTCCCCCGGGGGGTGCCGCTGTTGGGTGCCTGAGCTGGGACATGATGATAGTGTTTTTATACTCTTCTGCCTTAATGAGCTCATTTCTGGAAGGCTGGGTAATAGAGGCTGGTGCATTTTAGAAACATCTACCTGGGGAAGGTATCCCTGGGGAAGTGTCAGGCAGCCCTTCCCTGGTATATAAAAAAAAAAAAAAAAAAAAAAAAAAGGGGTGCAGAGACCAGCATCACATCGGCTGTGCTCCTCATCCCCTTTGCAAGTCCCCCATGTTTTACATTAGGCTCTCTGCAGCTTTGCAGACAGGTTTTACTGTATCCAAGCACAAGGTTTGGGTTTGTTTTTTTTTTTTTTTTCCCTCCTTGGCTGCTACCACAGAAGTCCAGGCAAGCCTGGGCAGCTCCAGCCGGGCCTTCATTGCAACACAGGCAGAAAAAAACCTGTATTTATCGTGTGCATCAGTACAGCTAATGAATGTGTGCACACATACACAGAGAGCTTTTGTAGAGGCATAAAGCCCTGCATGGTTTTGAGGTGGAAAAGAGCCGAGTGCCGCTGCTTTTAGCACTTGTATGGTTTCCTGCCGGTGCTGCAAACCCGCCGTAGGTTGAACCTGTGGGATTTTTGAAGGGATTGGGCTCGGTCTCTGCTGCAGGGAGCGAAGGAAGGCTCCCGAGGCGGCCGGGGGGAGAGGCTGGGACCCGCCTTCAGCTGGGGCCAGCCAGGAGCTGGGAGATGCTTCTACCGTGGAAGGTGCTGGTGTCCCACCAAGGTCACCTCGGTCCCCGGGGCCCCGAGCTCAGCCGCGCTCCCACGGCCAGCTCCCCCCTCTCCCCCCTCCTCCGGCTGCCCACCCGGCCTCCCTCCACGCAGGCCCACGGCCACGGCCGGCCACGAGCATCCCCTCCTTTCCTCCACCCGACATTTCACGCCGGCTTTTCCCCGCGGAACCGCTCCGGGGGGGGGAACATCCCCCCGTGGTTGAGGCCGGTGTGGGATCCCCCTCCCCCGCTCGGGGTCCCCCGCGATTTGGGGCGGTGAGGCCGTGCCACCCCCCCCCCCCCCAATCCCGCAGCGCGGGGCGGGGCGCGCCTCCCCCCCCCCCCCCTTTCGCGCCTCCGCAGCGCGGCCGCGGCCGCTCCGCGCTTGGCGGCGGAGGGCGGGGAGGAGGGTGCGTGTCACCAGGGACACGGACACACACACACACGCACACGCACACGGTCACGCACACGCAGGGCGGCCCTGCAGCGCCGCGCCGTTCGCCTTTGCGGCCAAACCCCGGCAACAAAGACACCCCCCCCCCCCCCCCCCTTCCCTTCCCCTTCCCCTCCCCGGTTTTGCTGCGCGGCGCTGCCCGTCCCCTCCGCGGGATGTAGCCCGGCCGGGAGCTGCCACCGAGGCACCGCGGTGTCCCCCGTGTCCCCGTTCCTCCCCCCCCCCCCCCCCCCCCGGCCCCCAGCCCCCCCCCCCGTCCCTCCATGCCCCCGCAGTGAGGCCGGGAGGCGGCGGGCGAGCTGTGGCCGGGGCTACCGGCCACCATGGGGAAATCCAACAGCAAGTTGAAGCCTGAAGTTGTGGAGGAGCTGACCAGGAAAACGTACTGTGAGTAACCGGGCCTGCCTGGGGGCTGGGGGGGGTGTGGGGGGGGGGGGTGTGCCGAGGGGAGGCGATGGGGCCGTTACCGGGGGTATTGGGGGGGTCGCTGGGCTCTGCGGCCACCCCGGAGATGCGGCGCCGGCCCCGGCTGCCTCCTCCCCCGGCTCGTCCCGGCGTTTGCAGCGCCCGAGCTGGGATTTCTCCGGGCATCGGCAGGGCCGGTCCCCAGGGGAGGGCGCAGGCTCGGCCGGGCTTTGTTGCAAGAATTCAGAGATTAGCTTGGAAGGATAGGGGAAAAAAAAAAAAAAAACAAAAAAAAAACAACCAAACCAAAAAAAACCCCCAGAAGGCAGCACAGACAAGGAGAGCCAGACAAACACTCTGATTTCTTATAAAAACAATCCTCTGTGGCCTATTCCTAAGCCTCCGGTAACTGTGGGGCAAGGGCCGCATCCTGCCCACCTGGAGCGATGCGCCTGCCTTTGCCTGACCCCCCTGCCTGGAGCATCCTTTCTCCCGGGGCAGCTTGGCCCTGGGGTTTTGCTGCCGGGCCGGTGCCCAGGGACTGGCCGTGGGGGTTGTCCTCCCCTCGCTGCCTCCCAGGAGCCGGGCAGCTTCTCTCTAAACGGGGAGTCGAATCGTCTGGGTGGCTTTCAAAGTTTGGGTGCGTTAGTTGGAGGGGTTTGCTTTGTTGTTATGCTCTGAAGTGAAGAGCCCAACACCAGAGAGTTCGGTATTTTTCTATGAGTATCTCAGTATCACTGTAATAACCTGATTTTCTAAGTGAGTGGCTTTCCCGTCTGAACCTCCACTGTAATCTTATTAACGTGGCTAGTGCCTGAGCCATCCAGTTTTAGCAAAATCATTTTTTTTTTTTCCTGAAGGATGCACAAAGGGAACAAAGGCTTTGGTGGTTCAAGTTTGCCTCTCCGCTTGCAGGTCGGAGATATTCCCCTAACGTGCAGCAGACCTGCGAGCTCTCCCCGCTGTCATTGCTGCAGTCCCACAGCAGCGCTTACCCAAAAAGGCAATAGATTAGGATGCAGCAAGTTCTCCCAGATGGAGAAGAGGCAATACTGGTGCATTGCACAACCCTACACGCGGGGTTGCTCTCTCGTCGTGGCACAGCCGGGTGCGGGCAGGAGGAGAGCAGGTTGCGGGGGGCATGTCCGCATAGCCAAGCCGTGAGCGGTGTTAGGAGAGGTTGGGCTACCCCGGCTGGGCTTCCTCGAAGTGCTTGGGGGAGAAGAAATAGTGAGAACGTGGCAGTTCTGGCTGAGCACAGACCTTGGCTGGAGCTGAGCCCCGGGTTTCGGTGTCCTCACTGCAGCTGTGACCCGCGGCGGGTGCAGCCAGGTACGGTTATCGCCGCGCTGCAATCGCCCGCTCGGTTTGCAGCCGCCACGACGATCCCATCTCTGATGGAGAGGGATCTGGGAAGAGCCGGCCCCCACGCAGCCTCGTCTGCTGGTGATCTCCTGCGTGCTGGGCTTCCTGCACCCCTGGGCTGGCTCCTCTCTGTGCGGGGAAGGGGCAAACCCCAGCGGGACACGCGGGCAGCGATGCCCTCTGTCTTACCGGCAGCTGATTCCAAGCAAACGCAGCGCTGGTGAAACCATCGGCCGCGGGCACGGGGTTGTCTTTTTTGCTGGATGAGGCCAGCAGAGTGTCATTGCCTTTTGAACCACTTTATGCCAAACTTTATGCTCCTCTCTCTCGGGTGCCCTCCCCTTTTCACCACATCCCCTCCAAAACAGACTCCAGTCCTCTGATCGCTCCCTCGATCAGTCCCCGGCCTGCCTGGGGTTTGTCTGTCCTCTCTGGGCCTCTTGCTGCCTCTTTTTCAAGGTTCACCAGACCCATGTACCTCTGCTGGTGTGGGGGCAGTGCCCGGCCAGCGGTGCCGTGGGGCAGCACGTGGCCCTTCACGTGGCCACAGCCCGGTGCAGCATCCCAACGGGCCCCGGCAGCATGCGGCCAGCGGTGCGATGCCTGTCAGGGAGAGCCTGTTGTTAATGGTCGCTAATACCAGGCTCTGTTTGTTGAGCTCTGCTCATTCCATCTCTCGTCTCTGGGATTAATTACTTTTGCTGAGTGTTTCTGCCCCTTTTCTGCAGCTGTCAAGGCAAGCGCGCATCCCCTTGTCTGGCGAAACACTTCGCAGGGCCCTCCCAGGCACGTCTGAGAGCCTCTGATTTATCTTCAGACCCTGGGAGACTGGAAAGATATTAATTGCCTTCTGCGTTTCAGGGAATCCAGGCAGAGGAGTTGCAGGTAGGAGTGCAGGTTGCGCTGATTACAGCAGGAGGGACTGATCCAGATCCCTGCGGCGTGGCCAGCGGGCCGGCTCGAGCAGGGGACAGTCGTACCCGCAAATCCATGGCATACTCAAGAATTGCTCGGGGGCTGCTTGGGAAAGGTTTTACCCCCCAGCACTGTGGTGCTTCGGTGCCTTTCTGGCGGGCCGGCGGTGACCGTCCTTCTCAGAGCATCCCCGGCACGTGGTGCCCATCCCGCGTGCTGGCTGAACGTTACCGAGCGGGCGCTGGCCCTGCCTCGAGCGTGGTGCTGTTTCTGCTGCTGTTACAGCACATCTGGGCAGATGTTTTTGGGAGCCTGTAACTGGCAGCTAATGATGGGGACCCGCTTTTGTCCCAGGGAGGCTCCCGTGAGCCATGGCTGCAGGACGTGAATTGTTTCTCCCACGATGGGATTTCCTTCCACTGCATCATTTTCTGTGCTGTTTCCAAACAAAATGAAGCAAATAACGAAAAGCCCCTTCTTGTTTCTGCAGGATCAGAGAGATGGGGAGACATCACCCCCTTTCCCTGCTCCACGCGTCTTTTCTGCAGGTTCCTCTCATCCGTGGGACGCAGAGGACCTGCAGCCCATGCTGTGTCACCTCAGAGCTCTTCCAATTCTCGGTGGCTCCTTGTGTCCCCCGGCCACTGTCCCTTGTCCCCTGTGGTCTCTCCATTTCTTATTTGTGGCGTTTCTCTGGCTGTGCCTTGGTTGCAGCAATCTTGGGTTGAGCAGGTGACGAGAGGAGCTTGGGGCTGGTTCTGTGCCAGGGCAGCCGTGGGCACGGTGCTCGTGCCGAGGGCACTCAGGGTTGCTGTCAGCATCCTCCGTGAGATGCGAGAATTATTTTACTGTGGGTATTCAGAGCAGATTGTCCCGGGCCCTGCTGGGAACCGGACACGGAAGGGCAGGAGCCTGGAAACCTGGTCTCTTGGCTCCCCTCCCCACTCCGCCCCTGGCTTACGGTGTGTGGGGCCAGATTTTAATGACACTTGGACACCTAAAGGCGCAGAAGGACATCTGAGGGCTTCTTCAAAGTGCCGGCTGCCCAATTCCTGTTGATTTGGACCCATCATCGTGTGCCTTTCAGCATCTCTGGGCACCTGAGTGCCCAGGAATATCTGGCAGTGCCAAGCTCACCCGTCTGCCAGGCGCTGGAGCAGCGCTGGCAGGGAGAGCCCGGCTGTGGGGCGAGGATTTCACCTTCCTCAGAGGCCAGGCTGGTGCCGTGTAGGAGCGGGTGGGAGAAGCCAACGCTGAGTGATAATAATAATGAATAATAAATTATGTAATTCTTTGTACTTCCATAGAGCTTTTCATCCAAAATCTCTTAAAATGCTTTATAATCATTAATTTATTAATCTTCCCAGTGCGTCTTTGAGGTAGCTTGGAGACGCAGTTTTGGCTCCTGTGTGTTTTGTCCCAGGAGGTGATAACACCCGAGACTCGAAGGAACCACCGTCCTCCCTGGATCGCGTCTGCTGGCCCCTCTTCAGCAGGGATTTGAACCTGGGTTTAACTTGAGCCAGGTGCTTGAGGCTCCGGGCCACGGTGGGATTTGGGATTGTGCTTAAGAGCTTTGCAGGGCTGTGGTCAAAGGGTTCTGCTAAGCTGGAGATTTATGAAGGTCCGGGGGTACCGCTGCTCCTTGCAGCCTGCATGAAGTTGTGTGAAGTGCACGTGTGCAGTTGTGGGTGCAGAATATGTGCTGCAGGTAGAAATGGCTCGATGTGGGCTCCTGGTAAAGAAATTGGGAGAGAAATTCAGAGCTGAATATCCCTGCTTGCAGCAGGGCTCCCAGGCCAGCCCAGCCACAGCATTGGCAGCCCTTAAAATCATGAAACAGGCTTAAAAACATGATGTTGTTTCAGAAAAGCACATCTTTAGCTCTTGTTTTTAGTCATTTTCGGGGGGGGGGGTGTGTTGGATTTTAGGGTTCTCTTTTCACAGCTATTGCCTGTGTCCAGAACTACTAACACTGTAGTTTTTTTTTTAAACCCAGCTGCAATAGCCGGGCAATCCGGTGTGCTCGGAGCCATGTGGGTGCAGCGGCATCGCTGCTGGGCCTGGGCATGGGGTCGGGATGATGGTCCCGGTGCTCCAGAGGCCCCGGTGAGGCTCTGGTGAAGGCGTGGGAGCCGCGGCGAGGGCACCAAAACGTCGCCTGTGGTGCTGGGCGGCCCAGGCTGTGGAGTGGGTGCGGGGAGAGGAAGATGCTCTTTTTCCAAGAACCACATCCCACCCACTGTGATCTATTTTGTGGATTTTAAACTCACTCTGGCATCATCATTTTCTGCTCTTTTACAATAAGCCGCAAAATTGGCTCTGTTGCTCGACAGTAGTGCATTGAATTAATGGGCATTAATTTAAGAGCAAACTGCAAACATATTGATTTGTAGTTACGGGGGTACATAGCGGCGGGTTTAGTTCTGTGGGAAAGGAAAGAAAATGCTCCAATTGCAGCAGTTTTCTGCCAGGAAAATGGGTCGGTTCCTCGCTGGGAGCACTGGGTTGGGGCTTGGCTCCGTCGTGCCGCCCCGGTGCTGGGGAAATGTGCTGGTTGGGTTGGTGGGCAGGCACAGAGGGGCAGGCAGAGCAGAGGAGGGACCTTGAGTTTCTCTGCCAGGTTGGTTCGTGTTGAAATCCCTCCTGTTGCACCTCGGGCAGAGAGCAGGGCAAGCCGGCCAGGGGGGTTACGCACCCGT